CCCTCATCTGTTCAAATAGTCATTGTTTCTCATGAGAATGTAAGTTGCTAGTGGGAAGGAATCTCTTTCCATTTTGTTCGCGGATGCAGCCAAAGCAAATAAAATAGACCTTAGCACAGAGTAGGTGCTCAATAAGCATCTGTTGAACAAATGAATTTGTTTAACTCATATTTACTTCATGTCTATTAGACATCAAGGATGTAAAAGTAACAAGACAGAGCCAGAATTCAACCTGCTCTCGGCAGGTACTGACCCCGGTCGACCGGGAAGGACAGCAATGATGGTACCTGGGATAGGTGCTTTGACAGAGGAAGGATGTGGTAGAGAGTTTAGAAGAAGTCCTTACTCTCGTTTTGGAAAGAGAGTATCTGGAAGGACACCCTAGAGGATGAGCCTGACTTAGTCAGCAAAGCATAGGACAGGAAGCCTCCTGGGGTGGACAAAAGGAAGGAGAATGTCCAGGCCAATGGGCGGCATGTACAGAAGCTTGGACATAAGAGAGTCCAAGTAGTTTCAAGTTTCAAGTAGCTCAATACAGACATCTTTGGGTTATAATTAGCCTTTGGGTTTCCACTCACAAGGTCACACAGAGGACAAGCAGGGAAAAGAAAGTCAGGTTGCAGTGGAAAACCAAAAATTAGCATTAAGTTCTTCTTAAAAACCCTGCTTGGCAAGAAGTTGTCATTTTCAGCAAATTGGTGATGGACAGCGTCACCTTTACCTAGAACAGTGATGGGCAGTGTCATCTTTAGGTCACTGGAACTTGGAAGCATTGGAACTTGTTGCTCATCACACACAAGGGCACTCTGGGATCAAAAGTGCTTCTTAAATAAGAAAACAAATAACCCAGTTTTTAAAATGAGCAATAGATCTGCACAGACACCTCATCAAAGAAGACATACAGGTGGAAAATAAGCGTATGGGAAGATGTTCAACATCATATGTTATCAAAGAAACTCAAATGAAAACAACAATGAAATGCCACTATATACTTAGAATGGCCAAAATCTGGAACACTGACAACACCAAACACTAACAAGGATGTGGATCAATGGGAACTCTCGCTCATGGCTGGTAGGAGTGCAAAGTGGTGCGGCTACTCTGGAAGACAAATTGGCAGTGTCTGACAAAACTAAACATACTCTTACCATACAATCCAGCAATCACACTCCTTGACATTTACCCAAAGGAGCTGAAAATTTATGTCTACACAAAAACCTACATGTGGATGTTTACTTAGAAGCAACCAAAATGTCCTTCAATTGGTGAATAGGTAAACAAACTGTGATACATCCAGACAATGGAATATTATCCAGCACTAAAAGGAAATGAACTATCAAGTCACAAAAAGACATGGAGGAAACTTAAGTGCATATAACTAGGTAAAGAAAGTCAGTCCAAAAAGGCTACATACCATATGATTCCCACCCTATGACATTCTAGAAATAGCAAAACTACAGAGACAGTAAAAAGATCAATGGTTGTCAGGGGTTGGGGGGAGAGTGGGGTGACAGGTGGAGCACAGAAGACTTTTAGGGAAGTGAAACGACTATAAGATATTATAATTGTGGACACATGTCATTATACAGTTGTCAAAACCCATAGAATATACCACACCAAGAGTGAACCCTGATGTAAACTCTGGGGGAAAAGTAGTTCTTAATTCATTCTTTCATTTTCATTCATTCAACAGCTATGAAGACAACCATACAATCTAATAAAGCAGTGTAGCTCATCATATTTAATTCATGCCCCTTTCGATACTCTGATTTTAAAAGTCCAAACAAATTTCATACCACAAAGAAAAATAAAATGAAGTGATGACTATTTTTAATACGCTATTTGGAACAACCGCAGGCCTGGTCCAGCAGCGATTCTAGTCTACCCACCCTTCTCGGGAGCATCTACTACCTCTACCCTGCCAAGCCCCACCCCCATCCCTGCCCCAGCGTGATAATCGCTGTGACACAGAAAGTCTGTACCAGCTCTTGTGAAAGGCAGTGTATAATAAGAGCTATAAGAAATGTACAAACAGGGAATTATTCTGAAAACAGGACCATCCTCAACTGGAACTAGTAAGTGGCATCTAGGGTTGGAATTGAAGGATAGGTAGGATTTCAAGAGCAGAAATGTAGAGAAAAACACCCATAAAAAGAAAGAGGTCTCAGAGAAATCACTGTGATGAGTAATCGCAGGTCATAGATGAGAAAGCTGCATTGTCTAGTCTGACTAGAACAGACTCCTTGTGTCAACACCCAGCACGGCGTCCTACACAAAGTAGGAACTCACTAAATATTTGTTGTAAATAAATGAATTTTTTCAGAGTCTGAAAGGAGAAAACTAGATTTCTACAAGAGAGTAAAGAGCTTTACATAGGGCAAAAACAGGTGGATTTTATTCTGATTATAATAGGAATTTATGGAAAATTTTTAAATTTTTTAGGAATTTACAGGTTTTGCAACAGGGATTGAACATGATCAGATCTGTGTGCTTTAGAAATGTTTTGTAGCCACTATCTATGGGATAGAGAAAATCCTCATGAAAGGACAGTAGACAGAAGTCTGTGAAGTGATCCAGGTGTAAGCATAACTGAAAGTTTGCACTGTCTTTTTTATATGTAACTTCCTTACAAAATTGTTGTCATAAAAGTCTTTCATGAGATGATATGGAGAGAAAGAATATTATTACATATAATTTAAATACATTTCTTTTTTCACTGTTATGCATGGATTCATTTTTATTGTACCTCGCTTCCCAATTTCAAAAATAATACATGTTTATTATGGAAAATGTATAAGAGAGCAAAGATTACTTTAACCTTATGAAATTTTATCACACATAGAAAAGGTATACATCTTGGTTATATCTTTACAATCTATATTCCATGTATGATATACACATACACGCACACACATATTCAGATCAATTTCCTCATAACTTTTATAATCTGTATTTTTTCCTCTTTAAAAATAAATATTTTTAACTTTTTAATTAAAATTTTACATTTTAAAACTTTAATTTTTTATAATTATAAAAGTAATAAATGCTTATAAAAACAAAAATAGTGAAAACTGTAAAGAAGAAAAATAAAACCATCTACAATCCCACCACCAAATGATAGCTGCTGCTGTCAACATTTTGTTGTAGTACCTAGGTTTTTCTCCCTCTTTTGATATAAGTAGATTAGACTACATAGATAGATGGTAGATATATAGATGCATAGATAATCGATAGATAAACGGACTCTTCCATTTATCTAAGATAGATAGATAGATAGATAGATAGATTTTTTTTTAATTTATTTATTTATCTTGGTTGCGTTGGGTCTTCGTTGCTGCACACGGGCTTCCCCTAGTTACAGCGAGCGGGGGCTACTCTTCGTTGCAGTGCACAGGCTTCTCATTGCGGTGGCTTCTGTTGTTGTGGAGCACGGGCTCTAGGCGCACGGGCTTCAGTAGTCGTGGCATGTGGGCTCAGTAATTGTGGCTCACGGGCTCAAGAGCACAGGCTCAGTAGTTGTGGCGCACAGGCTTAGTTGCTCCGCAGCACGTGGGATCTTCCCAGACCAGGGCTCGAACCCATGTCCTCTGCATTGGTAGGCGAATTCTTAATCACCGTGCCACCAGGGAAGTCCCAATAAATAGATTTTTAATGTGATAATACCATTTACTCTTTTGTAATGTTTTTAATCTAACAATGATAAAATGGACATTCCCCATGTTGTTAAATACTCTTTTACATGATTTTTAAATGACTGCACACAGTTTCATCATACAATTGTTCCATCGTTTCCTTAACAATTCCTCTATTGTTGTACGTAGGCAGTTTGCAATTTTTTATTGTTATAAACAACTCAGTAGTGAACATTATTGTCAACTGCTGTTTGCTCAAATTCAAGTTTCTTAGGATAAACCTGTGAAGGTAAAATTGTCCAGTCAAAGAGTTTAACTCTACCCTTGTGGCTCATTTAAAAACTCTTAAGTTCAGTAATGCACACCGCCTCCTAAATGCCATACCTCAGATTTATTTTTGAGATCATTTCTGTTTTCTAAATAGGCAAATTGATTCACTCTTCTTCAGAATACTGAGAAGATGATACAGTGGAATACTGCTCAGCCAGAAAACAAAAGAATGAAATTTTGCCATCTGCAACAACATTTGTGGACTTGGAGGGCACTGTGATAAGTGAAACAAGTCAGACAGAGAAAGACAAATATTTTATGTTGTCACTTATATATGGAACCAAAAAAAGACAACAAACTAGTGAATATAATAAAAAAGAAACAGACTCACAGGTATAGAGAACAAACCAGTGGTTACCAGTGGGGAGAGGGAAGGGGGGGAGTGGCAAGATAGGGGTAGGGGAGTAAGAGGTACAAACTATTAGGTATAAAACAAACTATAAGTATATATTGTACAATATGGGGAATATAGTCAAATTTTTATAATATTTTATAATTTTATAAAATTTTATATATAATTTTATAATTTTTATAATAATTGTAAATGGAATATAATGGAATATTAATCACTATATTGTACACCTATAACATAGGATATTGTACATCAACTATGCTTCAATATAAAAAATAAATTAAAAAAAATTTTTAAGAATACTGAGAAGATATTAAATGATGCAAAACCAAAAGCCGCATCTTTGTTAGCTCATTCGCTCACTCCTTAAACCCATGTCAGTGGTGCCCAAGCCTTTTTCTGTTCTGTATCTTTTAATCTTCTAATAATCTCTGCTTTTAAATGTGTACACATTGGAGAGAAAAAGAAAGATAGAGTACATGCGTGTGCACGTGTGCATGCACAGGCACAAGTGATTATTGTGTGAACATCCTACGCCTTCCTTAGTCCAATGGGTGATGTAACTTATTAGAATTAACTGCATTTATCCCATTTGGCGAGTCTGAAACACTGTGTTTATATACACTCATCGTGGGTTGTATAACGACGGTTAACAAGAATTCGTAGACACCACAGAGTACAAATACCAACAAAACGAGGATGCCAATTATTTGCATTGCTAGACAGCATTTATTTCATACATATACAACAATCAACTAAATATAATGTTGGAACATTTCTTGAACAGTAACACACAAATGTCACTTTAAATATTCAATGAGATGATATTAAATAATCATTAAGTCAGTAGTGACCAGTCCCGCTCTCATGCATCCAAGCCCAACAGGCTCTCCAAACTTCTTCTGGAAGATTCTACCACTGGGCAAAGCCAGAGTCTTATCCTCAGATGTTATCCTCACGTCTAAAACAGTAAAAGAGACCAGAATCTCCATTGCTTTGAAAGAAGAAAATTGGGACCAAAAAAGTATCTTCCTAGACAAAGGTTGGGGCAATGGAAGTGAGAAATTTCACTCAAGTTCAAAGTAACCATCATGTTAAAACGGATAAGGGAAGACTACAGGCATCTCCAAATGTGTATGTAAACAGAGGTCAAATAAAGTAGAAAAACTCATATTTTAATTCTCAATGAAGAATTCTGGCGTTGCTCTTTGTAGGACCACAAGCTTGCATTTAACACTCCTGCCACCCCACCACTTCTGGAGCAAAACTTAAAAGGGTGCAACAAAAACAAGAACAAAACCTCAGTAATTAAGATAAAGAACATTTTAATAAAATATTGTAACCAAAATATTTATGACAAAAATCATAATATTTATGATGTTAAAATATGAAACATTTTAATACAGGATCATTTCTTTTTTAATTTTTTTTTCCATAATGCACTAATTCTTTATCTCAATTCCTGGGTTTGTGCCCAAGGCAAGTGCTTCGTTCTCCTCACCCCGGTCCCAACCCTAAGGGAAACCGAGTCTCAGGTGCAGGTTAAAATCTAGTCAGGCCCAGCCAAAGAGGAAGAGGGTGGGGAAAGCAGCCTTTTCCTACAGCCCTGGGATGTCTCAGGCATAGAAACTTCCTCCCCACATCAAAGGAGACTGCAGCTGCCCCAATTTAACAAATAAAAATACAGGACGCCCAATCCAATGTGCATGTCAGATACACAAGGAATGTCTTTTAGTATAAGTATGTCCCATGCAATATTTGGGACATACTTATACTATTTTTTAAAACTCATTGTTTACCTGAAATTCCAACCTGACTGGGCATCCTGTATTCTGTCTGGCAACCCTCCCTCCACGCCACTCCCACCCCTGCCCCAGGAAGTCTCCCTTAACCCCAGGCAAGAGTTTCTATCTTCCCTGAGAGAGACGGTCACTCTGAAGGCCCATAGAAAGAACAAAAGAAACAAAAATAACAAACCAACTGAAAGCCAGCCCAACACGGAAAGAATGTTATTGCACATTTGCTGACAGAGACTGAGGGAGATTTCCAACATAAACAAGGAAATTTAATCTCATTTGCAAAAGCTTCCCCTGTGCTAATTTGTTAACGGCTCATGTAGTGACACAGAACCAAATACATTTTATTGAGCTTCTTTTTTCTTATATGATGCAAATCAAAGCAATCCCTGCTAGTAAGTGCAACTGGAGAAACCAGAAATGGTGCATTTTCCGAACTGGTCAGGTCAATCAAACTCAGCTTCTTTTTCTCAACCAAATGGATCGTCTGGCCAACCAACTTCCTGAGCCTTTTCAACCAAAGGTTGTGCATTTGTCATAGTTGTGAGACTGTGGATGACTTGAGACCCGATGCGAGTTTGCCTGTTAATGTTCTTTTTTGTCCTTCAGCCCGTTCTCTGCCTCCCAGGTAGGAGGCAAGAGAATCCAAAGCCCCCAGAGGAAAGATGCCCTCACACAGCTTCCTCTGCAGCTTGAGGAGGCCAACGCTGGTTATTCTCCCTCCTGGACATCAGAGACCACGCCACGTCATCCGGCTGAATCTGAAAGAAGCCAGGAGTGGTTTTCATTTAACAATAATTAATTTTCAATCAAGGCTCTTCTTTCTGCTCATCAGATCTGGGCTACTGCTATACATGGTCCTGAGCACAACTGCAGCCCCAGGAACTTCATCTTCTGCTTCCCAGAGATCAGCTAGAAAAGGAGGTCTCTCCTTCTCTCTCACTCTCTCTCTCTCATTCTCTCATAACGTTTATTTCTCTTGTCATTTTTTTCTATGTATTTTTCCTTTGTTACAAAATTGGATTCCATTTTTATATACGATTTTGTGTCCTGTTCACATCTTTGCCCTTTTCCATTGACAAAAAATAACAGTTCTCTACCTCCCCAGCTGCAGGAGGAGAGCAATAAAGGCCTATACACTTTTTTCATAGACTTGGAACAATTAACTCTCAGACAAACTGTCCTTTAGAATAGGTAAGACTGTTTTGCTTTCACGTCTGGCTAACATCAGCATCTTTGGTTCTGGTGTGTGAACTTGGGCAAGTCAGTTCCCAGCTTTGGTTTCTGTATCTCCATCTATAAATGGGAATTGAACCATCTCTACAAATGCTTCCAGCTCTGAGATTCTAAGCTGACGCTGATTTTCATTATTATCTTCTAAAGGTTGAAGAGGTTTAGCCAATGTGAGTATTTTATAGAGAAAATCACCATCTAGGAGCCCAGTAGTCTCCAAATTAGCAGGAGCTTGAATTGATAGATTGGGCAAAGGGGTGAAATGATCATTTCCTTCCCTCGACCGTATGCTGTATGTTCATCCCATGACGATCAGTCAACGTGCAGAGAGGGCTAATATAGTAACCATGCTTAGCAGTCAAGGGACACACAAGGGCTATCATCATATAAAGGTGTGGAAGGTAGCACAGAATTACATCCAGTCCAATTAATCATCAACTTCGCTCTTAGATGACTTAGATCAGTCCCCCTCCCTTTTATTTTTGCGGTACGCCGGCCTCTCACTGTTGCGGCCTCTCCCGTTGCGGAGCACAGGCTCCGGACGCGCAGGCTCAGCGGCCATGGCTCACGGGCCCAGCCGCTCCGCGACATGTGGGATCTTCCCGGACCCGGGCACGAACCCGTGTCCCCTGCATCGGCAGGCGGACTCTCAACCACTGCGCCACCAGGGAAGCCCAAGACCCCTTTTTTAAGTTACTCTTGAGTAGGAATGGGATGCTGGGCTCTAAGTAGCTAAAAATATAAACCCAGACCCATAAAGGCAATGGTGTAATGTTGGTCCAGGCTTTAAAAAGAAAGTCTTACACTTCTAAGCAGAAATTTTTGTTTAAATTTTTAAACATAATCCATGAAATTCTAATGGGTGGAATGTAATCTAGCTGAATAACCATGAGCTAGGACTACCAAGTTACAAAATTAATCCTTGAAAAAAAGAAAAAAGAAACCTGTACTTATGAACACAAGTTAATGCTGTCATTAGAAGACTATGAATTATTTCAAGAATAATATCCCTGCTCAAAACACTAGTCAAAACTTCATTCTCAAGCCTTTGAAAAATGTCTTCACCACTCTATACCGCTCTCAAAAAAAATAAGTTTGGGAATTATTGTGGCCATTACAGGATCAGCAAGATCTTTCTGAAATGAAAGCTAAGGTTTATCATTGGCTTTTTTTTACAAGCCTGGTTTCCAAGTGGCATTTTGGTGCTTCTAGAAATCAAAGCAATCAAAATATAAAATTTCCTACCTTTGCATAAGTTGAAAGGAATACAGCATGGTCTGTGAAGGCAATTCCAAAAAAAGATCCAGAAAACTGTGCTGGTCACTGGCAGTTTAGTTAAAATAAGCGTATATCCCAACGATGCAATCATTTAAAATAACACAATACTCGCCCATGTGTCGACATCCCAGATTTTGTTTCCCCAAAAAAATCCTTAATCATCGTTTCCAGTTATAAAAGCGTTGAAAACACACAATTGTCTCTATTCTCTCCTGAAACCCCAATAAAAATTACAGTGAAGAGATTTATTTTAAGGAGTAAATAATCCACAAAGATAAAATAATGCGAGCGGAGACAGAAGTTTGAAAGATGGATAATAAAAGGAAGAAGGGTGTGGGCTTAGCAGTTACAAGTGAGCTGAATCATAGGCAGTACCATTGTGTTGCAAAACGCAGCAGCCTCGATCCTAAACCACAGTGGAGAAATCCAAGAAACAATCAAATTTTTACCACCCGAAAGGCTCAGATGCTACTATTGGGTATCCCTGGGAGTGGAAGTGAAGATGGGACTCTACACAGGAAGGCACGTTAAAAATCACTTATGAAGGGCTTCCCTGGTGGCGCAGTGGTTGGGAGTCTGCCTGCCGATGCAGGGGACACGGGTTCGTGCCCCGGTCTGGGAAGAGCCCACATGCCGCAGAGCGGCTGGGCCCGTGAGCCATGGCTGCTGAGCCTGCGCGTCCGGAGCCTGTGCTCCGCAATGGGAGAGGCCACAGCAGTGAGAGGCCCGTGTACTGCAAAAAAAAAAAAAAAAAAAAAAAAAGCATACCTGATGGATGGATTTGAATATATTGAGAGGAGATTAAAACAAGTAAAAGGAAGTTTGGGGGATCAGGGATCATAAAAAGCCAAACCGAAAACTAAGTAAAAAGAAGACAATGATTAACTCCAGGAAAAACAAAAAGTTATGTAAGAAAGCAAGGTAATCATAGTATAACAAATGTCCCAGGTGTGATTAGCATTTAGATGGTCAGAATAACATAACTACACTTGCTACATAATTCACTGGGAGAATGAAGGAGATGGGCAGTAAATATTGAAAAGGTGTTGGAAAGGAGGTGAGTAGCAGGTTTGGTGAAAGAGAAAGAAAGTTTCCTCTTAAAGAGTGGAAAGAAAATAGAAAATACCTAATACTAAAAAATAAAGAAGGAGCATTTAAAAACGTGTTATTTAGAGATAATGGGGGTTAATATCAAAAAGAATGGTTGACGGCGATTTCCACTGGGGATGAAGACAATGTAAGAGGCTATCAGTCTGTTTGGGCTGCATTAAAAAATACTACAGACTAGGTGGCTTATAGACAACAGAAATTTATTTCTCTCATTTGTGGAGGCAGAAGGTCTGAAAGTGAGGCCCTCTTCAGGGTCACAGACTTTTCATTGTGTCCTCACATAGTGAAGGTGTCTGGGGACCTCTGTGGGGTCTCTTTTATGAAAGCACTAATCCCATTTGGGAGGGTTCCACCTTCATGACCGAATCACCTGCCAAAAGTCCCACCTCCTAACACCATCCCATTGGGCCTTGGCATTTAAACATCCGAATTTGGTGGGGACCTCAACATTCAGACCATAGCAGGGGGTATTGGGCAAAGGACTGGGATTTGTCGTAATAAATCTTGTCATCTGACTCTTTAAATTATGTGCATGGGTAAATTTGATATGAATAAAATCTAAGCTATGAAAACTCAGATATGTTATTTTATATCCGCATCAGAGTCCCAGGGCAGGATGAGGGTGCGGAGAGAATAAAAAGAACCCTGGGAGTCACAGGGAGGATATCAGCAAATATTTGGTGGTAGCTCTTCAAAACCTTAGCTGGAATTCCTCTAATCCACCATAGAATGAAAGCTAGTTTTAGATCATCTGTCTTTCAAACCAATATGACCTCTTTCCAAACATGTTTGACTGCCCATGTGCAATGCATTAACTACAATAATAAAGCTAATCAAAGGGGCCTCCCACAAATATTTTTGCTACATAGACCAGACCACAACATTTTTCCTACACCTACTAATGTCAGCAATGATGTGTCAGTGGCAGGAAGCTGTAATGACATTAAAAAAAAAAAGCCTACTACAACAGCAGGGTTTGTATCTTATTAAAATGTGTAATAACCGAAGGCCAAAGGGGCAGAAAAGAGACTGCCTTCCCCTGGTAACTGAGACCGTAATTCCACTCAAAAGTATTAAGTGAGTGGTATAATCAATGAAAATAGTTAACACGTATCGAGTGCTTTCCATGTGCAAGGAGCTGTTTATTGCTTTGTGTGTATGAAGTCCTTACATCCTCACAGCGACCTTGTAAAGTAAGTACAATGTGTCTCATTTTAAAGATGAGAAGACTGAGGCACAGAGCAGTCAGATAAAGAACTCATGATGGTACAGGGGGTGAGCAACGGATCTAAAGTGGAAGGAAACTAACACTGCCCCACCCCCTATCGCAAGCCAACCCTGCCCCAACCTTGCAGAGATACGGGAAAGATGTTGCCTCCTCTCCTCTTAAAGAGCGGACCTCCTGTGTGAACCCCGCAAACAAGAACCATATCCTTAACCCTACTGATTGAGTCCTTAACACATGCCAGGGCTCTGCAAAGCGTTTCACGAGCAATATCTCCTTTAATCTTCCAGCAATCCCAAGAAGTCGGTATTCCCAGTGCCACGTCCAGATGGGGAAAGTGAGGTTCCCAGAGGATAAGAGAAACTCCCCTATGTCCCTGCGGTCATTACATGGCAGAGCCAGGATACAGTCCTGAGCGCTCTCGTTCCAAAACCCTCTGCCTTTTACAAACAGAAACGACTGATGAAAAAAATGATGGTTCAAAGTGGAGAATCCAACAGGAAAGAATCCAGAAGTTGTTCTTTGAGGATAAGGATTGCAGTGCTTTAATCCTCACAACAGTCAACAGGTATTATTTTATGATTTGATGTTGTTGCTACTGTTAAGAGAGAGTGTTTTGCTTAACTTTAATATAAATGTTTGAATTAATCATTACAAATTTAATTGTTTAAGACTCACAGATATAGAAAACAAACTTGTGGTTACCAACAGGAGAGGGAAGGGGGGAGGGACACATTAAGGTACGGGATTAACAGATACACACTACTGTATATAAAACAGATAAGCAACAAGGACCTACTGTATAGCACAGGGAATTATACCCATTATCTTGGAATAACCTATAATGGAATATAATCTGCAAAAACACTGAATCACTACACTGTACACCTGAAACTAACACAATATTATAAGTCA